ATATATTCAGATGATCTGTCTTCACTGGTGTAAGTACCACCTGGCATTAGTCATATCCATTCCTTGGTATTTCATTTACTTGCTGATCTCATTTGGTCATATAAGCACGCCAAAGCCGCTTGTTTCCTGGAGTACGGTATGATAATGTTTAGGATTTTACGGATGTCCTATTTACATACATCTGAGTTGCTTCTCTCCTGCTGCGAGTGTAGTGAATCTTTGTGCTGCTGAGTTGGTGACAAGTTTAGCAGAGGTGAAATGCTTTAAATATGTATGTTAGCACACTCAATGTTGTGTACATTCTTTTAGAATGTAGTGCTTGGTGTTTAGTACTTGAGTTTTTTTATCAGCTCGCATAATAGAGCATACAGATGTTAAATGCACTGAAATTTGGGTGTTAAAGAGTTCAAATATAGATAAATTGAGCTATATTCAACTTTCTGGTTGCAAAGTGGTTATGTGCATGACCGACTTTCGAATTTGTGATTGAAGCTTCGTCGAGAATTGATTTTGATGATTTTCTAGATAAGTCGAACTTTTACTATGGTGCGATTTTCTTTGCCTGTGGCTTGCTGCATTATACATTTAGGAGCATGTGGTTCTGAGATCATATGAGGTCTATGTAATAATGAAGTATACCAGATGGTCTACGGGGGAGTACAAATTAGGCTAGCTAGTTCTAAAGTGGAATCTATCCCATTAAAGTTGACAAAGAAGATTTGAACTACTTCTAGTCTTTAATTTGTTTGTGGCCTCTTATCAGTTTATCTAGCTATAACTTAAATGGTGTTAGCATAGTTCACTTAAGGGATACATAATCTATATCTTGATTTCAATCCTGCTAGACTACTGTTCAATCATTTAGGAAGTGGAAACTACTGTCTGTAGTCCTAATATTCTAAAGTTCAGGGCTCTAGTTTATAAATTTATTGGAGTACAAAAGTGCAGTTTTTTTAGTTAGCTAAAGATGTCCTGCAAGGTTTATGTGTCATAGCTACTAGCTAGTATTTTAAAAGAATACAGAAACAAAAATAGAACTTTGCCACTTCATATATCACTTTGTCATCTTTTTTATTTGCTTTTCATTGTAAAAAAAGGGAGGGGGACGGAAGAAAAAAGCAAGATTGGAATAGTCAGGTGCAACACCCAAGTCGGTCCGAACACCACCGCCATGAATTAAAAAAAACAAGGTTGGAAAGAAACAGAAAATGGCGTATTGTGTAAGTTCGACGATTCGTGGGAAATTATCTCTCTTAAAGTTGGCTTCTGTGTATGGAATGCAGAATTTGAGACTTGATTTTGGATCAATTGACTACGCCTTGTAAGCAAAAGAGATGAGGGAGTGAAAGGTGGAGGGAATATCCGGACGGCGAGGATGGGAGTGTGGAAAAACAGAAGTGGCTTGATGAGATGGAGGAGCTGCAGTCATCACTTGTTTGGATGGTTTGTACGTTTATTTTGATTCTTTATTTAAAATTGATTGCATCGTATTATTAAATTTATTACTACCGTTGGATGCGCTAACACAAATCATATCAAATTGTGATTTGAATTATATGTAAATAATCTTAAAATATAAACGTTCCAGATAAAAACTATAGATAATTATTAGATTAATATGAAGCAGGACATGAAATCATTTTGCAAATCTCATAGTGGATAACCTGTTTTCTTTTTCTATATTTATAATAATCCAACATCTTAATTTTAGTATTTGCATTTCATTTTGTTATTAATATTAAAAAAAATTATATATATATCATGCGGTGATTTGTCTTGTTTGAGCATATTAGATCATACTATTTTAATAAAAAAATTACTATCACTTTATTTTTCATCTCAACTCAAATAAGTTTTATTATTTTGAATTTTTTCACAAATTTTTGGTTCTTTGGTTATAGTTGTAATATATCTTCCTTTTATAATCATCGATAAATAGTTATTTTTATTCTTGAAATTTAATGTTTTTTGTGCTTTTATCCTATTATTCAGAATTCTTTTACTATCTAAGTCTATCAATAATATTTTATAATATTATTATTTTTTTTTTTT